ATAAAGGGAGAAATGTGGGATCCACATATAAATGAAGTATAAAAATCAAACAAATATTCATATTTGACCTGATTGTTTATAGTTCATAATGCGTGATCAAAACCGAAAGTTTCTGTGATGACTGCCCTTGTACTGTTCACCAAGTAAGAACTTATTCAACTATGTAAGAATTTGTTCACCATGTAAGAACTTGTTCGTTATGCTTCAGAAGATTGGAGACTGACGAGAATTAGGCTTGGGGTGGATCAATGATTGTGCATTGAGCATTGACTCCCCTATACAGAATTTTATTGTTGTTAACAACCATTTGATCCATAAATATGAGAGATTCCCTCTCAAAAAAAAGAAAAGAAATCCTACCATTTGCAACAACACGGATGGAGCTAGAGGGTATTATGCTCAGTGAAATAAGCCAGGCAGAGAAAGGCAGGTACCAAATGACTTCACTCATTTGTGGAGTATAAAAACAAAGCAAAACTGAAGGAACAAAATAGTAGTAGACTCACAGATTCCAAGAAGTGACTAGTAGTTACCAAAGGGGAGGGGTGGGAAAGGATGGGTGGGGAGAGAGGGAGAAGGGGAGTAAGGGCATTATGACTAGCACACACAATATAGGTAGGTCATGGGGAAGGCAGTACAGCAGGGAGAAGACAAGTAATGACTCTACAGCTTCTTACTACACTGATGGACAGTGACTGCAGTGGGGTAGGGTGGGGGACTTGATAATATGGGTGAATGTTGAAACTACAATGTTGTTCATGTGAAACCTTCATAAGATTGTATATCAATGATACTATAATTATAAAAAAGTGAAAAAAGAACCAAAAAAAATTACACCCACTCTTTATCTACATAAAGTCCTAATCCCCAAATAACTTTAAATTGTGTCTATTTGAAAAAGTCAGCTTTGTTTCTTAGAGAGTCTTATTACCACAGTTTAAATTCAGTAAGTTTTTTAAAATTCAATTCTCTGAAATTTGCTAGTTATTTTCAACATAAACTATTCAGCAGTTTCTTCTCAAAGATTTCTTAATGTCTGTTTATATCAACATATACACATATTTAAAATCATAATGTAGTGAAAATCATCTTTTAATCATTAATAAATTAAAGTTCTTACCCTCTTCTCTGTGCATCAACCCAGGCCTGATCTCTGTTATCTTTTTCAGGATCATATAGTAGTTCTTCATTTGTTGGAATCCTGTGTCGTTCCTTCTTTTTTTTCTTGGTCACTTCTGCTAATTTTGAAAATGTTAAGGATATGGCTAAGTCATGTCTAAAGTTTATACCTGTTTAATACAGAAGGAAAAACCCTGTTTCCTTATGACGTATCTTTTCTTTTTATAGTTTCCTTAAAAATTTTTTTAACTATTCCTCCAAATAAAGTTCTTATACAATGACCAAGGCACTAAAATGAAGATGACAGAGATGAGTTTCTTCACCTGGAAACTGGTCCCTCAAGAACTGAGCTCAAATAATGAAAACTGAATCTCAAAAAGGTCACTCAAAGCAAGCCAAGGATATAAATCACTTTTGATGTCTGAAGTTTCTACAAGTTCCCTTATGTAAAATGCTACTGAAATCAGAAAATATTTCAAATGAATTTTAAAAAACTATGTGTCTTCCACATACACTAGACATAAAATATATCTGAACAGGTAAATATTTAGGCAATAATATAAAAAAATATAAAACTGTTTCTTTACTATATAATTTGTTACTTGTGTATTCCAGTGTCATTACTAATATAATTGATTTAGTTTTAGCTCTTGTTGTTTTGTTCAACTTTGCTCAAATGTTATACAAAATTGACTACAGAGCAGAGAGGATGATAAAAAAGCAACAAGTTAGGAAAGATTCTGCAAGAGGATAAAAATACAGAAAGGATTTGCAGATGTGAAAGCTAAGGTTGCTGTACTAAGGAACTTGAAGGAAGACGGGGGCCAAGAACCTTGAGGAAGGAGCTACTGAACTGAGACACACTCTGCCCTCTCCCCAGGTGAGCCTGTACAGCACCACTGTTTGGTCCCACATCCTCATACGTGTGCATTCCCATCTGTTCTTATTCATCAACCCTGCTTTTATTTTCACATCAACAGCCTAGTTTCTTAAAAGATAAAGACTCAGAGGAAAATCGTAATATTAAATAATTGCTAGATAAACCTTTTTTCATAAAATCAAACTGCTAAACCTCGTCAATATGTTACTTACTTGCCTTGTCTTCATCTTCAGAATCAGAATCAAAATATATATCATCATAGTACTTTGCTGGGCCTGTTTCAACTTTCCCATTTCCTGGGGAAGACCCTATTCAAACCATAACAGAAATTTACAGATGAAACCATACATAATTGACAGGATAAGAGTTCCGTATATTCTTCTATCACCTCGAAGTAATATCAACTCATTCCCAATCTCGTTTGGATGGAAAAATACTTTTACATCAATGACTTACCGGATTTCTGTGCCCTCTGCAATTACATAGAACTGTCCTTCCTGATTAAATATCCTACATGATGAGAAAAGTACTCTCTCCCTCTTCTCACAAATATAATTAAATAAAATAGCTCTATTTCAGGTGGCCAAGATACTTATATCTACCTTTCAACCACACAGTATGCTCTGGAGAACAGGGAATACACATCTTGTTTTAAAGGACTTTAGGGGAAAGAGGGTAAGAGCCCCACAGAGCAGTAGGAGCAAAGAGCCAAGGATGCATTCTTTCTCTCCTTATTTGTGCCTAGTGCCATGACATTACTAGACTTTTGTGATCCTCTCCCTGAATCTCTAATTCTTCCTATTAATATCTGCTTTTGCTTTTATTATTATTACATATGCTTTCAGTTCTTAACAGTTAATACATTGCATATTAACATGGAAGCCAATGCTAAGGAATCCTATTTTTACACATCAGTTTTCAGGTCATGTACATTGTACATAAAGACCAAGTATCAAAACGAAGTATGTTTCATTACTTACTAAAACGAGACAGGAAATTGTGGCAACACATCATTCAACCTGCCGTATCAGTGCTATATAACCCTAAAAAGACTTCTATAAGCTTGTGTCTTTTCTTTATCCTGGGGTAAAAATTACAAAAGGAAATCGTACAAGTAAATAATACTAAATAGTCTCTTTCCAACAACACAAGAAACCACTAGTCATCTATATTCAGACTGCTGAACACATGTATTGATTCACTCAACAAATATTTATTGAGTAGCTACCAAAACTGCTTGGGACACAACAGAGCACAAGTAAGGTTCCTACTTTATGAAGCCCAGACAAATATCTGTATGAAAATCTAAAAGTTTACCTGTTTCCTGAGACGATAACTTGTCCTCCATTGTTTTTATGGTAGAATTTAATTCAGCTTCCATTTCTTTTTCAAATTCATCTTCACTAGATGATTCACTTTCTCCAGTAAGACATTCTCTGATGAGTTTTCGTTTTTGGTCAGGAGTTCCATGTAAAAGCACATCCACTTCATCTTCAGAACTAGTACACATTTAAATTTAAAAAAATATGAATATTAAAGAATTAAAGTAATAAAATTCCCATCATTTCACTGTCCAACAATTTTAAGTTTTCCAAGTTTACATTTTATTCATCTGTCACATTACATACAGCTATTATCAATAAATAGATCAACGATTTCTGCACATTTCCACATATATTTAAGTCTACATAACATCTCTTCTAACTATTTGCTCTTCAACACTACAATGAACATCTCTGCACAGTAGTCCCCCCTTAGCCACAGGTTTGCTTTCTGCAGTTTCAGTTACCTGTAGCCAACCACAATGTGGACACAGATGATCCTCCTTCTGACTTATGGTCAGAAGGTCAGTAGTAGCCTAACACTACATCATAATGCCTAAAACATTCATCTCACTTCAGCTCATCACATAGGCATTTTATCATATCACATCATCATTAAGATGGTTGGGTATAATAAGATTTTGAGACCAAATTCATATAACTTTTATTACAGTATACTTGTAATTGTTCTATTTTATTATTAGTCATTGCTGTTAATCTCTTACTGTACCTAATTTATGAATTAAACTTTATCGTAAGTATGTGTATATAGGAAAAAAACATACACAGAGTTTGGTACTAGCCACAGTTTCAGGCATTCACTGGAGGTCTTGGAATATATCGCTGAAAATAAGGGGGACAACTATATATATGTTTGTTTCTGTTGATTTCCTTTGGATAAATGTCTAGAATTAAATACAAACATCTTTCTGAGTTCTTGAATTATCACACTGCTTTCCAAAAATATTGCACCAATTCATAATTCCATCAACAATGAAAAGTTTATGTTTTTGAACTTCAGGGACATACCTAAATGAAACTTAACAGACATAATATATAGCTAATATATCCACACAAAATGTTAACAGTAATTAAATATTACAGTTTAAAAGGCACAAGGCTACAGAAAACTATAAAGAAAGCTAAATTATATTCCAAATCCCCTCCACAATTTCTGCCAATTCACTTGGCCTTTTGTTCCTGGGTTTCCCCATTAATAACAGTATGACAGAATTAAACCAGTACCCGAAGGAATGAAATGTTAATCAAAATGAATGAAACGCCTAAGACACTTCTAATATAATCAATAGTATATAAACAATGTTCAGTTATTCAAGGGCTAATGAATAGTTATAGACTATTCCTGGTTTTTGCTTCTCTATTTTTCTCTTCCAGAGTAATATTTTTGAGCCTACAGCAGAAAATAGATCAGAAAAAAGCAATTCATATCAATCATTTTGGCTAATGATAGAGACCTTAGCCAGATTCTACTCCCAAGCAAATTTTCTGACATTCCTCATCCTGATCAGCATGCTCCCTTTCTCCATTACCACTATATTCACTCAGGGCCTCTGAACTCTGCCTGTGCCACCATATCCTAAGGATCTCCAAACTCTTCTGTTTTATTAACCCTGCTGCTAGAATGTTTTTGCTAAAGAACCATCATTATATCACTACCCAACTCTGAAAGAAATCACCATGGCCAAACCTCTGAACACAGCAGTCAAAAGAGCCTTCTAGGCAGTACAGCATAAAGACAAGTAATACTCTATAGCATCTTACTACACTGATAGACAGTGACTGCAATGGGGGGAGTGAGGACTTGATAATATGGGTGAATGTTGAAACCACAATGTTGTTCATGCGAAACCTTCATTAAGATTGTGTATCAATGATACTTTAATAAAAAAAGAACATTACTGGAGCAACTGACAAACAGGGATTGTAGATTAAGTAACAGAATTACATCAATCACATTAATGTTTAAAAAAAGAGAGAGCCTTCTACAATCTGGTTTCTACATATCTTTTCAACCTTACCTCTATCTCCCAGAATTACTCTGCTCTCTCTTATATTCCAGTGTTTCCAAAGTAAGGGACATAGGAGATTATTTTAAAGAGTAGCAGGACAGTCCACTAAATGACACTGAAGGCATTGCTGGTGGGAATATAAAATGGCACAGGCAATATAGAAAACAGCTTAGCAGTTTCTTATAAAACTAAACATCCAACTATCACACAACCCAGCAACCGCACTTCTGGGCCATTATCCCAGAGAAATGAAAATATATATTTACACAGATGTACACATGAACATTTATAGCAGCTCTGTTCACAACAGTCAAAACCGGAAACAACCAGATGTCCTGCAGTGAGGGAATAGTTAAAATAAATGAGGAAGCCTACCCAGCAATAAAAAAGTAATGAACGGCTGATAACTGCAACAATGTGCATGGATCTCCAGAGAATTATGCTGAGAGAAAAGAAGGCAATCTGAAAAGGTTACATATAATATTTTTGAAAACTGACAAATTCATATAAATGGGGACTAGATTAGTGATTATCGGAGGCTATGCAGGGAATGCAGACAGGAAGTGGGCAATATGAGGGATCCATGTGACAAAATGTTGTTTCTTGACTGTATTAATGTTGATAACCCAGTTGTGACACTGCACTACAGTTTTGCAACATGTTAAAATTGGGGGAAACTGGCTAAGAGGAACACAAAGTCTCTCTGTATTATCTCTTACAATTAAATGTGAATCTACCTCAAAATTAAAAGTTGAATTTAAAAAGAAATGAATCGTAAGAGAGTAATTATTTTCACAAATAGCCCTCACTCCTTGTGATTACTTCAAGAGAGGTCTCAGCATTTAGCACTGCTGGGCAAAGTAATACTATCTTGGGCCTTGCCCATTCTTGCTTGGTATACCAAAAATGCACAGTTCTAACTACTCTTCACCCAGGCTATTTCTCAGCATTGTGCCTGCAGTGAGCAACCTTGAAAAATGAGGTAATACCTCTCTCCAGGGCTAATGGCAGGCTCACTTGCGGCCTGCTATGGAAGTAGATTCTCCAGGCTTAAGTGGTCCTCAGCCATGAGGCCAGTCTACTGAATGTGCAGCATTCACCTGGGCCTCTCTGGGTAGCCTCTGTAGGAGTGGGAAGTTAAGAACGACCAACATAAGCACAATGCCCATACTGCTTGCTGTGCTGTGAGTTGTTTCTGACCCAGGAGTCTACTGTCTTCTGCCAGCTTCCAAGAACAGTAACAGGCTATGAAATAACAGCTTATAAGTAGAGTGAAATCAAATCCTGACGGACACCTCTTAAACACCTAACACTAAGTTCCCTTTGTGAAACAACAAGCATTGTATCGAGAGCCTTGAGGAGGCAATACTAATAACACTGTTTTGTTTTCACAGTATTTTTTAGTTACTTACCAGTGGCAGCTGTCACAGAGAGTATAAAGCTTCCTTAAAAAAATCTAACTACAAAAAATGTAAATTGCCTTAAAGAAAAATATTAAATAATAACACTGGTGAATAATGGAGATAGTAATGGCAGAATAACTCAACTCCAGGTACAGTGCTTTATTCCAATCAAACCGAATTATTAACTGAGGTCTACATGTATCCCTTTTCACAGACCAGACCCATTAACTGAAGCTCTTTTTCACAGGTAATCTTAGAATCCATCCTCACTCCCCACAACATAAATATTCACAGCAGTCTGATCTCCCATGCTGACAACCCCTCCACAGGATAATATGAGGAAACACTGTGACTAAAGAAAGGGCAGTTTCACAGAAAGCATAGCAGGACAGAATGTTTTAAAGTTTGTAAACAAATCTGCTGGCAGCTTAAAAAATGGCTAAATCTGCCTGCAAATCAGCAATATAACTGCAAGTTTCCCTTAGGTAGGAATAATCCCTCTCTTCTGGAAATTCCCACGGAACTTCATCTGCACCTCTCTCAGGTCTTTTTCTACAATGCTCTTCCGAAATACTTATTTCTGAGATATTTATCTTCCGAGATAATAGGTCTTACTTCCCCTACTATAAGCTTCTACTGTAAGCCTGTAGAAGACAAAAACCTTATGACTAACCTCTCTGGCCCGGAGTTAGCATAAATAGGTGCTCCAAAAAAGTCTGAAATATTCTTTTATTTCTGTTAACGGTAGTTTAGTCTTCAAGATAACCACTCAACACTAAGTCCCATGAGCCAAACAACATACTTATGAGATAGTTGTTGTTATGTTTCTTTTTTACAGATGAGAGACCGAGGTAAGTGACTTGCCTTCTGTCACACAGCTAGTTAGCTGCAGAGGCAGGATTCCGGCTTTTGGAAGACTTAGAGTGATTTCCAGAATATGCCCCTTCCCCGGGCCGATGTGGCCCCGCCTACCCCGTGGCTGCGCGACCTCACCAGAATCACCCTCGATGTCCCACAGGCGATAGCGAGGCGCAACAGGCGCCCGAACCACTGTACCCAGGCCCGACAGGCGCAGCTAGTGGAGCGCGCAGCTAGTGGAGGAGGCTAAGGTCTAGCCTCGGCCGGAAGCCTCGCGGGCCGGGACTGGGGCAGAGGCCCACCTGCTCAGAGCCGGCTCCTCGTCGCTAGGCTCTTCAACTGCGTAAGGATCATAGTCATCTCGGAGCTGGCTCATGGTAGCCTGCACTCTGGGACACCAGTCTACTGGACTCAACACAATATCTGTTCACACCGCAGAACCGTTCCCAAAGCGTTTCGGACTCCACTTCCGCCCTCACTTCCGGCCCTCCCCGAGCGCGTGCGCAGATCGCCTCAATGAGTGCGTGAGACGAGGGGGCGGGTCCGTGTTGTCCCAGAGTCCCGCCACTTCCCACCCTGGCTTCTGCTTACGTGACAACAGTACCTTATTACCGGAAATAGTAGTCGGCACCTTCATAAGTAGCAGTTTCTGAGATGAACACTGCGAGCAGTGTCCCATGTCGTGACTGGAGAAGCAGAAATATAGATGCTGAGGGGCATGCAGCCTGAAATCCGGGCCAGTAGGTCCCCAGACTCTAGCACCCGACGTCCCTCCTACCTTCTCGCCTTTAGCCCTCTGCCTTTAGCCCTCTGCCTTCAGCCCTCTGCCTTGTTTTTGTAGGATCTGAAAAATCAAAAGTTAGCATAAGTGCATAAGTACAGCCATCTTAAAGGGTTAAACACCACCCTCTAGCCTAGGAGAAGGAAAATTATTAGAATCTTGAAAAACAAATTAGTCAGCCAGTGTTAAATGTAGTGACCTTCAGTTAGCTAACCTCAAATCAGTTAATCATGAACACCAGGTGGTGGGCAGCTGCGGCCTTCAGACAGCTAACCTTGGTCGGATAGTCATGCATACCAAGCTTATCTTGCTGAAACACTGTGTAAGAAAATACTGTCTTTTTGAAAATGCTATGCTATAAAAACCTCTGGCTTTGGCTGCTCAGGGTCCTCGTTGAGACCCGCTGCGACGGGCTAACTTGGACCCCTGCTAGCTGGTTCCTGAATAAATTCCTCTTGCTTGTTGCATCAAGAGACGTCTTTCGTGAGTGATTTGGGGCAGCGTCCTCCTCTGGGAGAATCCAACATTTTCATCTCAAGGCTGCCTCGCCTTCATACTACTCACTCTTCAGTCTGACTTCGGCCCCTACTGTCTACGGAAAAGTTGCTAGACTGTCACAAGTTACTTCCTACTTGCCTTTTCTTGGCCTCTTCTCAGTGCCAATCTTGGCTCAGCCCTTATCCCATTACACTTCATACTTGAGATGAGGCAGATGACAGACTTTACATCTTGTATCTGTACCGACCTATACTCAAGTTCCTGCCTCCTTCCGAACAACTCTCCCTTCTTCACAATCCATTCAGATGACTGCCTCAACTTATTCGGTCCTTGCCCTCTCTTCCGGTTGGATTTCTGTGCCTATGTTGGACTACCAATTGCCTAGCAAGATACCTCCAACTGTTGAAGTGTAGCTCCAACCCAGCTCAACATCTTCCACCCAACCTAGCATTCCTATACCTCAGCCAATAGCTAGTTTTGACTCCTGATTTCTGCCCGTGTCTCTTCCTACTTCCTTATAACTGCTAAAAGCTGAAAGTCTTGGAATCTTGGTTGACTGCTTTCTCTGTCTTTCCATAAGCCCTCAATTCCCTGTACATCACTTATCAACATCTCTCTCATCCACATCCCATCTCCCCACCCCTCAACTTTGATTATTAATATAGGATCTGAATTGATAGCCTTGTTTTGCTTTTGTTCTCTCTCCAATCTATGTGATTCTCTGCTGGCAGAGTAAGCCTCTTTACCTGATTGGGTTCATCTTATCCTGCAGTATTCTTGGCCCTCTACAGTATGGTTCAATCCATCATGCCAAACTGGTTTCCTTAAATATATCCACCACAATTCACTTGTTCAAGAATATGTGTTATGCCTTCCATCACTAGGCATTCGCTCATGCTATTCCCTGGTGCCCCCTCTCCTACCTTTAATTCCACCATCCTAACCTTACTGTCCTTCAAGATCCATCTGTAAACAATGGATGGGTGAGTAACTAGACAGAATGACCCTTTAGGATATCTTTAGCCAAGAGAAGTTGTAGTTGTGGGAACTCACACTGTATCTTTTCTGATGCTTCTTCAGACCCTCCATCTACATGGGATCCTTGCTTAGTAACTAGACAGAATGACCCTTTAGGATATCTTTAGCCAAGAGAAGTTGTAGTTGTGGGAACTCACACTGTATCTTTTCTGATGCTTCTTCAGACCCTCCATCTACATGGGATCCTTGCTTCGAACTCTTGTAGGATCGTGTTTCCACTCACGTGGCATGTATTTCTCTGGTCTTCAACTATTGTATTATTCCACCCAACTCCTTTGTGAGAGGTACAATATTCTCCCATGAGTCACAGTAATGTGAAGGAGACACCTGTTGGGGAATTCGTTTTTCCTTTTCTGAGAACCGTGGCCCTCCTCAGGGATATGCCCTTCTATCCATGTCCAGTCTGCTCCACAGATGTTGGGCCATTACTTACTCCCATACACTTAAAAAGAGTTAGAGATTCTAAAGAGTTGGCTGTGGTCCTAGTGTTTATACCAGGATAAGTAAACTTAGGGGCTGAGGCTACCATTTTGGGGAGCCTGTTTGGAAGTTGTATGTGCTGATGATGAATAAGCAAAACAAAGGAGGAGTATGTAGGAGACAGACAGAAGCAAAGAGGCTTTCTGTGACCCTTGTCAAAAACTTTAAGCCCCCCTGAAACCATAAAACTCCTAGAAAAAAACAGGCAAAAATCTTTTGGACATAAAGATGAGCAACTTCTTCATGAACATATCTCCCCAGGCAAGGGAAACAAAAGCAGAAATGAACAAGTGGGACTATATCAAGCTGAAAAGCTTCTGTACAGCAAAGGACACCATCAATAGAACAAAAAGGTACCCTACAGTATGGGAGAATACATTCATAAATGACAGATCCGATAAATGGTTGACATCCAAAATATATAAAGAGCTCATGCACCTCAACAAACAAAAAGCAAATAACCCAATTAAAAAATGGGCAGAGGAATTTATGTCACACAGTCAAAAGTGAGCAGACATTTAGATAATTTGTTTCTTTATGTACCTGGTCTACTGCTACGTGAAACAAATTCTTAATATCTTTGGTGCTAGATGATGACAAACTCTTAAGAATATGGTATTTTCATTAAAAATTCATGCTCTAAATATTAAAGTCTATTAAGAAAAGAAAAAAAAATGGGCAGAGGGAGAAGGAGAACCAAGATGGTGGCATAAGTAGAGCAGTGGAAATCTCCTCCCAAAACCATATATATTTTTGAAAAATACAACAAATACAACTAATCCTAAAAGAGAGACCAGAAGATACAGGACAACAGCCAGACTACATCCACACCTGCGAGAACCCAGCGCCTTGCAAAGGGGGTAAGATACAAGCTGCAGCCCAGCGGTACCCGAGCACCCCTCCCCCCAGCTCCCGGCGGGAGGAGAGGAGTCGGAGTGGGGAGGGAGAGGGAGCCCAGGACTGCTGAACACCCAGCCCTAGCGATCCACACCGGAGCGCAGACACACAGTGTTGCGTGGGGTGCTGGAAACTAGGCAAACAGGACAGTAAGACCTGTGAGCGGGTCTCCACAGCCAGCGCACCTGGGACAAAGAAAAGCTAGTGCTTTTTGAAAGTGTTAAAGGGACAGGGACCCCACAGCTGGACAGAAGAAGCCCAGCAGCTGGGAATACCGGGGAACTCTGGATGCCCAAACCCCGCAGCGCAGCTCGGAGGCCCCTCACCGCGATAAACAGCCTCCCGCCTGTTCCCCTTCCGTCGCGGCTCCGCCATATTGGAGCAGCAGCCTGAGGCAGGTCATGCCCACAGCAACTGCAGAGCTAAATAAACTCTATAGAGGCCGGGCAAGATCAGAAGCCCCGTCTGCGTGCAGCTGCCCAGCACAAGGCGCTAGAGGCCGCTGTTCTCCCAGGAGAAGAAAGCCACAAGTGGACAAGGGACTTTCTCTTACCCAACACACGCGCCAGCTCCCCACAAAGATATCTATCGCCATGAAAAGGCAGAAGAAATTGATACAGACCAAGATCACAGAGGCAAACCCTGAGAAGGAGATAGACCTAACCAGTCTTCCTGAAAAAGAATTAAAAATAAAGCTCATAACCATGCTGATGGAGCTGCAGAGAAATATGCAAGAGCTAAGGGATGATGTCTGGAAGGACATTACAGAATGAAACAATCTCTGGAAGGATTTATAAACAGAATGGATTAGATGCAAGAGGCCATTGATGGAATAGAAACCAGAGAACAGGAATGCATAGAAGCTGACACAGAGAGAGATAAAAGGATCTCCAGGAATGAAACAATATTAAGAGAACTGTGTTACCAATCCAAAAGGAATGATATCCACCTTATAGGGATACCAGAAGAAGAAGAGAGAGAAAAAGGGATAGAAAGTGTATTTGAAGAAAGAATTGCTGAAAACTTCCCCAAACTGGGGGAGGAAATAATTGATCAGACCATGGAAGTGTACAGAACTCCCAACAGAAAGGACCCAAGGAGGACAACACCAAGACACATAATAATTAAAATGGCAAAGATCAAGAACAAGGACAGGGTTTTAAAGGCAGCTAGAGAGAGGAAAAAGGTCACCTACAGAGGAAAACCCATCAGGCTATCATCAGACTTCTCAACAGAAACCTTACAGGCCAGAAGAGAATGGCATGATATACTTAATGCAATGAAAGAGAAGGGCCTTGAACCAAGAATACTGTATCCAGCACGACTATCATTTAAATATGAAGGAGGGATTAAACAACTCCCAGACAAGCAAACACTGAGGGAATTTGCCTCCCACAAACCACCTCTACAGGGTATTTTAGAGGGACTACTCTAGATGGGAGCACTCTAAGACTAAATAGATGTCACCAGAGAAAATAAAATCACAGCAAAGAAATCAGACCAACCAAGTACTAACTAAAGGCAAAAAATAAAATCAACTACCCACAAAAGCAGTTAAAGGAAGCACAAAAGAGCACAGAATAAAACAACCAACATATAAAGAATGGAGGAGGAGGAATAAGAAGGGAGAAAAATTAAGAATGACCAGACAGTGTTTAAAATAGCTCAATAAGTGAGTTAAGTTAGACCGTAAGATACAAAAGAAGCGAACCTTTAACCTTTGGCAACCACGAATCTAAAGCCTGCAAAGGCAATAAGTATATATCTTTCAATAGTCACCCTAAATGTAAATGGACTGAATGCA